TTCTGCTCTTGTCTCTATTCGTTCATTCTGCTTTTCTTAAAATTGCATTCAACTAATTTTGAAATGTGTTTTCATTAAAGTTCATTAAAGTTACATATTTGAAAATTTCCATTATGATTTATTTTTTGATTCATCAATTATTCATAAGTATGTTTCTTAATTTCCAAAAGACCTATTTTGGTTATAAGTTTTTGTTTTACTGATTTTGAGTATATATCACATTGTACTCAAAGAATGTTGTTTGATGGTACGAGTCTTTTCAAATGTGTTCGTGGCCCATTAAGTGGTGGATTTTCATTTAATGTTCCATGTACTAGGAAAAGGTGTGATTTTATAATTATTGTCATTCAAATTTTCAATGTCCTTTCAGATTTTTTTTGTCTGCTTGATCTACTACTTACTCAGAGAGATGTGTTACATTTTCCTAACACAGGAAAATGTAACACATTTAAATTGTTAAATGTGTGGGCTTGTCTGTGTTTTTCTGTAGTTCCATAAATGTTTGTTTTATGTATTTTGAGGCCAAATACATAAGTTCAGAATTGTTATATTTTCTTGGTGAATTCAGTGCTTTTTACATTAAAGTATATTTCCCCATGATATTTGAATAGCTTCACAACTTTCTTTTCGTTACAATATACTTGGTGTACCTTTTAAAATTTGTATGTTCAGTTTTTCTTTATGTTTTAGATGCGTCCCTTATAAATAGCATTTATTTGGATAACTGAAAACATTTGGTCTGACAATCCTTTTCTTTTGCCTAGAGCATTTAGTCCATTATTTTCATTGTGATTATGGAACTAGTTGGGTATATTTATTCCATTTTATTTTGTCCTTTCAATTTGTTCCATCTTTTCTGTGTTTTTCCTCCTTTTGAATTGATTTTTTTCCTCAGTTTTTCAGTCTCTACTAATTTGGAAGTTATAGACTCCATTTCAATGATATAATTGATTATAATTTTAATTATCTAACTCTGAAGTTATCAATATTTACCTTCCTTCCAAAAAATACCTAGATCACTTTTACTGCACTCCTCTCCACCACCTGACTGATTAATGATTGTCCGTTTTAGTCTCTTGATTCATGGAACAGAATCTCATTCTATGGCTCTTTCCTTCTTCCATCACCCTTCTACTCTGCTGGCCAAGGTACACTCTAGAGTCACTTTTGACATTTCCAATTTTCTTGTTATCCTATTTAGTTTTTGTGTTTTAAACGTTTTAAATGTCAGAATTACTGTATAAGCATTTCCCTTTCTCATTCTGGTTACTCCTCTGGGGAATCATACATGTGTGTAGAAGGTTGGTTCTTCTCCACCAGGACTCTTTATGTTGAATGTGGCTGAAAATCCACCTGCAAATGACTTCATCATAAAGCAAAGTTACTGGCTCAGGTAATTAGAAGAGTCAGTGGCTCCAAGGAACTTACCAAGACCCCCACTTCTCTCTTCCTCTCCTCTCTGCCTTCTGTGGTCTTGGCTTCAACCTCATGTTCCATGTGTTGGGCCCCTGTCAACCCCACTCTCTCCCTCATGAAACAAAAGGGCACATCAGTTCCTGACAAAATCTGTACCATACCTTCCTGAGGAAGACTGTTTTTTTCCTGGTAGTTCCTGCTTAAGCCTTGGCTCTGAGATTCATGTGCTCATGTTGGCTTAATTTGGGCCATGTGCCCATCCCTTCATGAGAGTGATGAGTCCCTCTAATTGCCTTAGCCTGCCTTGGTCCACCATGGGTCTGGAAGTAGGATTACTCCTACCCAAATGCACAGTGGAGATGGGGGAAGGGTAAATTCATCAAATTAAAATCCATGTACTATGGGCTGCAGAATTGGGGGAATGGATGTCGTGGAGGTAATGAATAATGGATGTCAGCTCCTCTTGATGATGTTCAGACAATACTAGATGATTATTTTCTCATTTGAACCAAAACCAAACCGGATCTTAGGTTCCCAAATTTCTGAGTCAAGTAAACATTGCATTTTCATCCTTAGAAAAATTCTCTAGGAAACCTTAAGTATAAATCTGTTAGGATTCCTAAATTCTGATGTTCAGGCAGAGCTATGTACCTACCTTCTCATTCCAAGAGGTGGGAGGTGAGGAGGGTGTTAGAAGAAAGGGCAATTGAATCATGGTGTACAGGAGCTTACAGAAGACCTGACATATCCCTTGATGAGTGACTGGGGTGTGGGTGCCCCACTGCTATATGTATTCTTTCTTGAGAAATACTTGATGGCTTTTAAGTGATACCCCAGTGTTGGAAAGTAGGAGGTAGAACAGATTTGGAAAGAAGCTTTACCTAAGTAAAGAGGAAATCGCCCATAGGCAGCAGTAACATATTGCATTTGTGTTTTCCACCTTTGGTTTTCTAGGGGACAAAATTGCATTTTAAAGAGATGCTATTAAGTGTGACTTGTTCCCGGAAAAAAATGAAGTGTAAATTTCAAATTCATGCCACAAAAATAAAAGATAAAGCTAATTTTGGCTAGTGTTCATGTACTATTTGCAGTAGTGACTGAAATAAAGATTAATAACCTTGACCACCATTAGCATAATCCACTGTAATGCTGGATATAAAATTGCATCATTTTAATAATCTAATGTTTCCTAACCAGTGGCGATTCTTGTAGATTTGCAAGTATTAGCTCCAAATTCTTTAACTAAAGGCAGATAACAGTGAAAATGATCAATGCCTCTGGAATATAAAATACATGATGAATTAGTTTGGCCAGTCTCAATATGCATATCTTTGTTTTCAGTGAAAGATTGATAATGTGGTGTGTGTCTGTGTATGTGTGTGTGTGAACATGTGTGTGGGGGAAGCAGGGCCTTTTATTTTTATCTAACATTTGCAAAACTGATGAGGATGAATCTAGGAAGAACGTGGCGAGACTCTGGGCAGGCCTCAGCTTTCCACGCCCGCACAGAAGGCATTCTCAACAGGGGGTGGCAACGTTCCAGTCCCGTTTCTGCCCAATTAGGCAGAAATTCTCTGTTTGATTTTGGGCCAATCACTTCTCTTGCCCCCCATTGCCTCTGAGTAAGGTAAGGGACGTGACTGACAAATGAGTTTCCCGGATGCCTGAGGGGTTTCCGATTCCCTGGGTTGCTGTATTTCTGTCTGACCTGCAGGGGGCAGTCTTACTCAGAGGGCCCTGAATTTAGCAGAATTGTCCAGTTCTGAGAACAGGGCCCACTTTCCGGTTCTAATGTCCCTTTCCCCCCGCTTTCGTGGGTATGCATAATGTAATAACGGGTCAAGTCTCCTTTAGGATAGGAGCCATTTGACTTAATGTTTAAATACAGTTAGGAAAGGATCCATGAGTGTCACATGGCAGATTACCCTGTTTTCGTTAGGTTTCATGAGACACCTACTAGCAAGGACAGCATGTTATTTTTAATCTTAACCTTTTTTGCCTAATGAAAAATGTTGGGACGGCCCGTCCGCTAATCCTCGCCCAGAGCTAAGGCCAAAGAAAGACATTAAGCCCCAGACAGACTGTATGTCAGGCAAAAGCAGAAGTCTGAGGCAGCCCGGCAGAGAAATACTGAGTGAACAATAACCTGGCGGCATTGTTTGCCAATACGTGTAAAGCCAAATGCAAATGAACACAGGTTCATGGGTCCAGAACTGAAAAGAAACGAGGGCAGGATGAAAGGAACGGAGTTTCAAGCAAATCCCCGTCTTTATACAAATCTTCTCTCCCCTGCCCCCTCCCCAATGGCTCCTTGCCAACTCGGGAGGGTAGAGATCCCAGGGGGCACCGGCCAGGCTGGGCACCTGCGGGTCTCACTTCAGCAAGCTCTGGATCGGCCCTCAACTCTGAGAGCCCCTTAGAACCCCTTGGGGGGGCTTCAGGGAAATGTGCAGGCACCACCCCAGACTCTGCCTTTTGAATCTCGGGGCTTGGGGGCACTGGCTTGGATGTTTTCAAAAGCTTCTGAGGTGCTTCCAGCGTGAAGCCAAGATTGAGAACCTTTGCTCAGATAAATGGAATGACTGTACTGTGTTACTGCCTGATCCTTCATTTGAACATAGCTGAAAGCGGCTTTATCACACAACAGTGTGTCTATACATCCTCATTGATAACAGCTGCTCACCTTGGGCACGGTTCTCCATTTCTCTCTAGGTTGTTAAAACTGGGTTAGACAAAAAAATAAGACAAAACCCAAAACCAAAACTGGGTTAGGCACTAAAGCCGTTCATGTGCCTACTTGTTGGCAGGGCCAATCTCCTGAGTCAGACACAGCCATCAAGGCCAGGATAACCCTTGATTAAAGAGGCAACTTTTTCCAGGGGTCTCTGTTTCCAATCTAAATTAAGATTTCCTCCTTTAAAAATTCCTGTTTTCACAACTGTAGACATAGGGAAGGAAGAAGATAAAATTAAAGGAAATCAGCCGCTTGCATTTTTGGTTTTGTGTTTGTGTCAGTTCCCTTCTTGTTTTTATTGAATGCCGTCATACTGTATCAGCATTTGCCAGAACATTTAAAAAATGCCCCTTCTCTCCAGCTTCAGTTTAAGAGGAAGTGGCAAAGGCCATAGACTCAGCTTACCCCCAACGGCACAACTCTCAAACTTTGCACAAAGAAAGAGATGCAGTCTCCCACCCAGACCTCCAAACCCACAATCCAGCCCACCATTTACATTCCAAGCCTGGGCCTGGGCATATGGTCGACATACATTCTCGGTCTTACTCATCCAAAGGTGGCCAACAATAGAATTTGAGCCACCAAGTTTCCATTCTCCCCACCCCCCAAAATGTGCTGAAAAATCTTTGGTTGTATTTTCAGTTTAACTCCTGACTTAGATGTCATTTACTGCTTGGTTTCCTCTAGCTCAATTTTCCCATTTGAATAATGGGAATAATGTTTGTCATCTACCTCACAGAGTGACAACTAACTTATTGACATTTGACATTTGAGGTCCTTGGATGAAAGGTTGTCTATAAGTACGAAGTATTGTTATTTTGTAATCATTGCGTTGGTGTATGTATTCATTCATAAGGAATTTTGGGAAGAACAGCAGAAATATAGCTAGATATATATTTTTTAAATATTTTAACTTAGAAAAAGTCCCAAAGAGGGGTGTTTTTTAGGTGTTTTGAAAGCACCTAAGTTGCATTTTTGTTTTTCTTTTTTTTTTTTTTGTCTAGAGCTACAGAAAAATTCATGGGGAGGAAAGTAAGGGTAGGGGGGTTTCCATTTGGGGAACTTGATTTGCCAAGCCTTCTTAATGACGATTCCACAAATGTGGCTGCAGCTGTGAGGACAGCTGGAGAGACCTGTTGTCTTTCTGGTGCCCTCTGATATTTTGCAATGTCTCTTCTGATTGACACCATGACTGGGTGTTGCTGCTCTGGCCTGGCCCTGGCCGTCATGAGGGCGTTGCCACTTGGGCAGGGAACTGGAGAGAAGATTTAAGTTGGTTTGAAGAAGTAAAATTCCTCCTTGAGCTCATGAGCAGAGCCATGGAAACCCGAAGACTTCCCCCCGGGGCTCTGGGGGGCTTCTAACCAGAGAGGTGAGTCCCTTACAAGCTGTCACACCATAGAAAGAGAAGACCTCTGGCTAAGGTAGACAGGCTGATTGATACAGGTGACTGTATTATTGTAGAAAGGCAGGGCACAGGAGCTCTAGAAAGTTCACTGGGGTCCCTCTGCCGGCCTTCTAGGACAGGTTCTCACCTGGTTCAGGGAGAGAACTTCCTACTTGTCCTTCTGTGTGTGCTGCTAAAAAGGAAGCAATATTTAGAGCTGATTTAAGCCCCATCCCCTGCAATTTAGTCTGTCCAATGCCAACAAAACCATGCCTAGCTCACAAAGACCAGGCCCTTCTGATGCTGATGTGTGAAGAGAACTGGGCACTAGACTGAACAAAAGGTTTGCTTTTGTTAAAATGATTAAAATGGATTATAATGAAATTATAGAATCACTGCAACCACTCTTACTTATGCACTCCTGCAAAGGGAAAACAAAGTCACTGAAACAGAAATATTGTTCCCAAAGGCAAATTCGGTTTCCTTTTTGGTGACCTGAGAAAGTTGACCACAATTCCATTCAAAACCTTCAGGCACTTGACTTTTTTTTTTTTTTTAATATCCTTTACCTTTTTAATAAAAAGTAAAAAACAAACAAAAAAATACATTGATGTCCTGAATAGAACCTCTCTATGTAAAGGTCTCACTAAACAAATAAACACAGGACCAGACAAAAGAAATGGAGCTGCGAATAGCAATATGATATATAATGAAGCATTTATATATGTATGTATATATTATATATGAATGTGCGGGTATATGTGTGTGCACCTATGTACGTATAAATATGTAAATATTTGCCTACATATGTCACACACACACATATATATTTATACTGACCTCTTTAGATTGAAGTCCAAGGCACTTTTTACAATGAACAGGTTAAAGCCATTAATTCAGAACATAACTGTTTCTGGGTACATATCGATTTATGGCGCCAATATCACAATTCACATCTTTCCTTGCTTACTTCGGAGTGTCTGGTTGGCGTAACGAATAAGAGGCTTGGTTTTAAAAGAGATTAGGAATGTTTCTAGATGGTTAAACTAACTTCTCTTGCTAGTTTCCTGTAGGGAGGAGGGTTCCCACTGGTGGGATGGTGAGTTTCTCAAGGAAGGAACACAGATGCAGCTATTTCTGTACTATGCTGAGCGGAAAGCCAGGTGGCCTTCCAGGGGACCTGCCCTGAGGAGCCACCTGATATTCTGATGGCCCTGCCAGCGTACACTAAAATGAAAACCTTAAAAAGGTGCTTTCACGTGGCTCAAGGCAATGAAGTGAGTACTTTTAAAATTAGACTGGGAAAAGACTGCTTCTCTGTGTACACCACCCAAGCTATATGACCTCAAGGGGAATTTTAAGATACATTTGTTTTTATCATTACGATCATAGAGGACCTTTACTTCCTCAAATAATTCTGTAGATGAGGGTCAAGGAAGAAATGGCTTGATCTTCTGATTATTAATTTTGTTGGCCAGTGATTCTCAACATTTAATATGTATACAGATCCCCTGGGGACCTTGTTAAAATGCCCAATGTGATTAAGTAGGTCTGGTGTGGGGCCTGATATTCTGCGTTTCTAACAAGTTCCCAGGTGATGGTAATGCTGCCGGTCCATGGACCATGCTTTGACTAGCAAGAGTTAGCATAGAGCTATATACCTGAATTACTGTCCAAAGGTCTGTTTTCCCCAAATCAGGAATTTGTATTGGTTTCCTTGACTCTAGATCGAATAATAACTTTGAGTAGAAAATCAGAACACTCTCTATAAATGTACAAGTCTTAGTCTGAGAAAGGCTAGAAGGAAAAGCCAAAAGAGCCAGTTCTATTTAGTAGCAGAAAAGTATTACGAGATAAATCAATTGCCACCAGTCCATTCATCAGTCAATTATAAAATTGAGAAAAACTCATTTCCATCACCCAGTGAGTGGGTAACTTGCTAAAAACTGGTGCCCTGGTGTTCTGATGGCTTTAATGAAGCTCTGCCTAACATGTTATGGGGAGCAGTACAGAGAGAGAGAGAACTGAGAGAACTCAGCTCAATAAGAATAAAATGTGTGTCCAAGTTAGGTCTCAGCTACACAGGCAGAGTGAAACTGGGCATTTAGATATTTCTCTTTCGAATGGCATGACTAATACCATTGAAGCCCCAGCCTTACCTATATTTAAGCTCAAATGAATGGAAGTGTGAGAGGGTTCCAGCCTTTTTCCCAGGAGAAAACCTGCCATTTTGCACTATCAGTATACCTGGGTGAGTCATCAGAGATTGTGAAGGAAAGAGATGCGCATACTCAGTTGAATCTACCCTGATGCTACTTGGTTTGCACCTGTGCAATACTATACGGAGTGATGGTAACAAATGAGGGTCCTCGTTGGGAGGAGGCCCACTGATTCTAGGAAACCTCTGTTCTATAACCAAACACATCCTGTTTTCATCTACAAATAGTCCTTTGGTCAGTCAAAGGAGGGAAGTGAGAAATTCTACACATGTGTCTCAGAGAAGGTGGGGCATGGATGTCATAGTTGCCAAAGTAGAGAATTTGCCACAATTTTGCCAGTAAAGGAAAATATCTTGATTGAAACTCTTCCTTCCTCCCAGCTGGAGTAAACTAGCAGAAAAGGAAGCCCAGCTCTCTGCGTGTCCCGCCTCTTCCCCTCAGTCCCTCAGGAGCTGTGCTCAGTGTTGTGGATAAACATGTGCAAACCCCGCACCCTCTAGGGCACTGCTGACTCAGGAAAGCACGCCTGCACACCAGCCTCTCATTGGGCCCCGGGTAAATGGAATTCCAATCCCAGTTATACTCTGACACAGAGAAACTTATAATGCCTGGAATTTTGAGTCTCTTGTGTCACAGGAGAACAAGACTCTTCCTTATGCCCCATTCTGAAATCGCCAAAGGAAACACCAGTTGACTGTGTTTGAGACATGTCATTTATGGAAGAGGTTCTTTGCAATTATATAGAAAGAGCCTGCACTTTTATTAAACTGGCTTTGCACAGCTGCTAAAGGAGTGATGGCTTTTAAAATCTCTTCTGAAATGGCTTGAAAGAAATTAGGGTAGAATTAGTCATCTAAGCTGGGAACAATGTTCTTTTGTGTCTAATAGTCACGTCTCAGAGAATTAGAATATGGCAGTTCTGTAGGCTGAGGACCCTTGGTCTGGGTGTCAGGGAATCACTAACAGTGATGTGTACTCAGAAACAGTCGTTGGGAGAGCAGGCTGACACCGGACCTGCTAAAGACTAGTTTGATACAAAATGTTAGTTGAAAGTTACAATATATTTTATAATATAGCAATATATTTCATATTTAAAATAAACTGTTATACTTTCTCCTATCATTAAAAAATAGCAAGCAGTACAGAGGCAAGATGCAAATTCATATTGAAGCTCATCTGATTCTGAATATAAACACATCAGTTTCTGAGTTCACCATGAAAATGTTTCCTCCATTAACATCTGTTGCTCTCTTTTGTTGTTCTCTTCTGGTCAGTGCAGAATGGAGAGTCTGGGACCAGCATTGAGTTGTTGCGCCATTAAAAAGTGTGTCTGATGAAGGTGGATCAGTCCTGGTTGAGATTCAAAGACTGAGACAATATGACACAGCTAGAGAATGTTGTTTATTCCCTGTCCTTCTTCTGTGAACTTGGATGTTGGCTGTTCCGATCAGATTGATATTTGCTTTGTCTATATATATATATATAAATTTTTTTTTTTTGGCTATAAATTCAGCATCTCTTTGGGATCCGAACTATAGGTTGGTGTTGAATTTTGTGCTTTTCCTCCATCAGCTTGGTTGGTCACAACGTCTCTTGTTTGTTTCAACACATGGTCCAGGCCCAAGAGTACAGCTTCCAGAACACGTTTCTCAGGTGTGTAAACAACTGTGGCAGGGCACTTGGCACCTAGATTTGGAGGTCATACGTTGATGATTTGATAATGGTTTTGTTCAGAGGGAACTCCAGTTCACGTTTGGGCATTTCCAGTAATGGTGTAAGAAAAAAAGATCACAGTTATTTTTTTTCTCTATCTGTATGTATTTATATACCATTGCACTGAGTACTTTTAATAAGCTTCGGTCTATTTTCGTAAAAATCTACATATTACTTGTCTGACAGGAGTTTACTGTTTACTATTCACACAGCCTGGCACAAGCTTTCAGGATGAAGAGCGCTCACCTATATTCTACTGCCAGAGGCAGACAGTTAATATTGCTATCCCTGTAACATTCCTTTCTTAGTGGTATCAATGATCCCGTTCCCACAGTGTTTACTTTGGCGGCAGTAGAGAAGGAAGGGATACTGTCCAGGGTGTCATTAAGCTGACTGACTGCAGGGAAGGGAAGGGGCTGTTCCCGCCTACCAGGAAGCCACCAGATAGCTGTCTAAGGTACTGAAACCGAATGCCGCAGAGTCAATAGGGGCAGCCAAATGGCCACTGATGGAGCCTTCATCTGCTTCTAAGCAACATCCAGGGAAGTAGGATGATTGTGTAGAACTGGGACGTACTTTAGGATTTAAAAGCAGTAACTTTAAAAGAGCAGTAACCTACTGGTAGTGCAATGACTTCATAGTGTCTCAGTTGTGGTACTGTGATGGTAGCAACACCATGGGTTCTGGGATGAAACACTGGTTCTTAATTTGGGGTGCACTGTTTGTTGAGGTATGCTCTGAAGGAGAGAGGTCCTGGGACTATGTGCTAATCCCATACTTCTCCCTGCTAATTTCACATAGGTTGATATGTAAGAATTACTTTTTGGTAACTATTGACTACATTCAGAGGCAACATCAAAGTGTGGACTTGCCAGAGTCAGTTTGGGCTGCTGTTGTTGGCAATAGTGATTTCATTTTAAAGTCTATTGAATACTTTGTACTTAGGAATATTAACTGTTACCTTCATTTTAAGCATAGAGAAATTGAGGTATGAGGTGGTTATATTCATTGGCCAAAGATGTGGATCCAGTGTTAGAGTTTTATTTATTCTGATTCTGCATCTCTAGTTTTCTTCTCTTCCATCATTACTTATTCACAAGAAATTATCAAAAATCTAAGGGGGAAAGCCTCAAATATTATATATTAAAATCATTGTTTCTTCAATGCTGTTTCTTCTTGGCCTTTAATAAATAACAACAGTTTGCACTTGCTCAGCACTTTGGAAATTACTTGCACACACATTTTCTATACCTCTTCAGTTATGAGATTGTTGTTACACCACTGGTACTTGCTGAGGTCAGAGGTTAGTGGTGATGCAGGGCCTTACCCCTCTTATTCTTTTGCATTGCATTAAGCATTTCTAGAGATATGATGTCATGAAGTTACATATTATGAGGATGGCAAGAGCAGTTCATAGACACTTCATGATAAATTTATTGATGGTGATCACACATATGTGGTCTTTGATCCAAAGATGCAGATTTTTATTTGGACTTCAATCTAAGGAGGAGTGACTCCCTAGTCTGCTGTAATTTACCAACTGATGCTATGTCCTGAAATTCCACTGAGATTAGTGGTCTTAAAGTATCACAGTACATCCCTGACTTTACAGTACATGAAGCTATAATATGGCTTAAGCGATGAGGGGGTGGCTCTGTATTTTTAATTCAAGTGTCTAGATATTTTAGGGAATATTAGAGTACTTTTACCTGACACTGAGTTATCAGAAGGATTATAGTAGGGGCTCTGCCACTGGGTCATCCTTCCAGGAGTGGGCAGAACTCAATCAGTTCAGTACTGGAGTGAGGTTACTGTAATTAATAGTTTTTCCATATAGCCAATTCTTGAGTAGATAATTAAACCTCCTCCACCACCAAACTTGAAATTACAGAACAAGAAGTCATGGCACGAGAATCCACCTGCCCCCTTTCCCCATCTGCCTAAGATGCTGAGGCTCAGTGGAATTAACCAAAAGATGGGCTGTAGGAAGAAAACCTGGGTGAGCTACACCCTAATCAATACCTAAGTCATCAAGGGTTGATTGTACTTGCAGGAGAACGGGCAACTTCCCCACATAAAGCTGAAAAACCAGTACAGAGAAGCAGCCTTCCATTTACCATTGCAGGATCGACATGCAGATTTGATCACTGTTTTTTTTTCCCGAAGAGTAAGTACTCTTTCGCCAAGGATAAAAACCATACGTAGCTATTGCACTACCAATAGGTCCAGTCATGCTACAAATGCCCATATGTTTCTAGGATGCCAGTGGCTACTGCTACTGGAAATATCTCCAACCACTCTCTTTGCTAGTGTTGCTAGGTTATAGGTCATCAGGATTTACCTAAGTGAATAGCATTAGTGGTGGGTTAAAGAAGAGTCACCCACAGACAGTGATGGGTCAATGACAGTCTACACACAGTTTTTGGCAGGAGGAGTAGCAGTGGAATCTTGCATGCCATTTGTTTGAAATTCAGATTAAATCCCTATTTGTGTGCACGTGCACACACACACACACATCACAGGGTTACGGGGGAATGGGAAGGGTGACCAGGAATTAAGAATTGAGGGCTGTAGGTTAGATGATTGGGATTGGCATGTTCAGGTTGACCTGTCAGCGCTCTTCACTTCATTTCTTTGTGAAATGAACTAACGCCACAAAGAAACCGCATGGTTATTTCATCTGCTTATTGGTCTGTTTATATGTTCAGCTGTCACTGAAAACAGGAGCACCATTCCTGGGACATAAAAAAGGAGAGGGATCTTTTAGATAATCAATAGTTAAGAGGACAAGCAAAAAAATGTTAAAGCCAGCAGCAAGTGCGGCATCTATGGTGTGCAAAGCACCCAAGGAAAGTGCTCAAAGGAGTTATCAAGATAAAAATGAGGGCATCAAGGGAAGAGCACAGCAATGAAAAGAGATATAAGAAGAGGTTGAACAAGAGACCAGCTCTTCTTGAAAGAGTGGCCTTTCTAGGGTGGTCTACCTTTTGCTGTCTGATGATTCCCTTGCCCTTAGAAGACCAGGCCCAGTGCTGTAGAGGAAAAGTCTTCACAGCTAGACTCTGCCTTTGGAAAAGTGGCGATGTCCTGTACAAAGTGAAACCCAACAGGACAGCCATCCACAAATGACACCCTTCTGTTTTACCCTAAACAGATGAAATATTCCCTACAGTATGATTTAAGTCCCCACAAGCAGACGTCAAAGACCTCAGAATGAGAAATGTGATGATTAGTATGATGGTTTTCACATCACAAACATTATGCATGGTTAGGTGATGGAGTGCGGAAAATATCACGCATCCGCATGCCCTCTCCTCACAATGCCTGTCATACACTGGCTCTGGATGTTTCTGGAGTCCCTTGGAGTTTGAGATGTATTACAATAGTTTCTGCACCAAGATTAACGTGGCACAGCAGGAACAGGATACTGACAAATCCCTGTCACCTTATCTTACCCACAGGGTTCCCTAGAATCTCCCTTTATCCTCATAACCTTACACTTTGAGGTGGTTTTAGGTCAGGTAGAAAGGACCAGCTGGGCCACTCACCATCACTTCTCCCAGCTCTCAGGTGAGGCACTTGACCCCTTTGCGCTCCTAACATCTGGGGCTGTAAACCTGTTGCTGGATAAATAGCACTGAGCAAACCCCCCTGACAATACTTCTATTCATGCAGGTGTCCTGGGGTCGCACCTGTCGGCGCATGTGTGTGCTTGCCTGGACAGGTCCCGCCCCCCTTCCCTCACACACGTACACCTGATCATGCGCTCCAGTGGAACACAGCTTGTTTGGATATAAGATGAAAACTCTGCAGAAGCTGTTATTTTTAGAAGGCTGCTTATCTCTCCAGAATGCCAATTTTGGCTTGTCATTCATCTCAGAGCAAGCATGGTGCATACCCAGGGCAAAGCACCCTGTTTTGCGTTTGAAGCAACCTGCATCTTCAGTGAAGCTCAGGACGTGGCCGACACTGGCAAACTACCTGAACTGACAGCACCCACATCCCGATTCAGACCAACTCAACGTGCACTTAGAGAGTGCCTACTGCGTGCAGGGTAAGGTACCAGGTCCCTCTTTATTTGGGCCAGGTGCAAACCAGAAAAGACCTGGGTTGACTGTGGGATGTGTATGTGTGTGTGTACATGCACACGCTTGCAAACACACGGGTTTATATGGGTATTAATATTGGATGGAAAGTCTGGCTTTTTATTTGTCTATTTTTCTTTCAGTCTAAATTTTGTTTTATGACTGTGCGAGGGATGGCAGGAAAGCATGTCTGTCTTGGCAAAAGCTGTGGGCAGCTCTCCCTTACTTTGTCATCCAGGGGCTTCCTTAGACAGAAGGAACGCAGACAGGTGGGCTGGAGGACCCCGGGGTGAGGAACCCATCCCCCAAGCCTGACACCACGCCCTCCCCCTGCGGGACCCTCCTCCGGGCTGGCTTCACTGCCGGCTACTTCAGTGCATCTGAGCTCCCACCCCCCACCACGTGAAGACCTGAGATTGAACGTGGGTGTCTGTTCTCCACCAACTGTGCCGCAAGGGCCCTACCAGAGGCGTCGCTTCCTGTCATCTCCTCTTGCTGCTCCCGAGTAGAGGCACCTAAACAGAGATCAGATTTCTGGTTTCAAGGCATATCAAACCAAGCACGCTGAATGAACATGAGTTAGTTAATTAGCTCGGTCTCTCTTCTTTACGTTCCCTGGTCTGCATGTTCCTTGATGGCAAAGCGACCAGGAGAGAGTTGATTTGCATCTTAAGACCTATGGGTAATGCTTCTGAAGTGGGGAGTTTTATTTAGCAACTGCTTGAACTCGTGTACGGGGTTGGGAAGGAGGTGGAGCTGACCCCGATTGGGCTGTCGGAGAGTGGGGTGTGGGTGGTGCCCACTGCCACACTGACGCCCCGGGCCTCCGTGAGGGCAGACAGGAACTGCCGCTGCTGCTGGCGCAGGGTGTCCGCGATGAGCAGGGGCAGGGAATTGACGCTGGCGGTGAGGTGCTCCAGCTTCGACTCCAGACTGCCGATTTGTTTCTCCAGATCTTCGCTCCGATCATTGAGTTCTGTGATTAAGTCATACATGACGTTCTGCATCTGTTTGGAGAGACAGGAGACGACAGGTCATTGCAGAGGAATCTGCAATAGGAAAAATGAAATACTCCTCCAGATTACACTTGAAATACAACTCCTCCAGGGATCTACTTCCACACCGGCCGTGTCGGGTCTGGCCAAGGACAGAGAAACAGTTTACTTTCTTGAAGACTTGGAGGCTCAAATGGCACAGTGGGTTTTTGTGTGTGTGTGTTTTTGTCTGATTACAAAAATAATGTATATTACTTATAAAAATAGATTAGAAAATATATAGACTGGAAAGGCAGCACTTTCTTCTTCAATAGAACGAGTCCCTGAAGTGTCCTCATGTTCTTACTTTGTCCAACCTCTCAGCTCATAGGGCAATGGCACCTACTGATGAAAGAGACGGCTCTGTGGTGGGGAGCGGACAGTGCAATAGACTTAGCATTGGTAGGCCAGGGTTCAAGTACACGTCTGCCACTCACTAATAATGTGCCTTCCCTCATGCCCCTTAACCTCTCTGCTTGGTTGCCTTATGAAAGAGGAGTTAATAATAACAACACATAGTTATAGAGCTGCTGCTCCCCCCCCCCCCCCCCCCCCCTTTCAACACAGCAGGCAGAATGTACAACGTACAACGTAACTCACTCAGGACGGGGCTGTAGTGAAAGGGAGCTGCCTCGCTGAGGTTACAGCCCCTCTCCTGCCTGGTCAATGAGGAAGGACATTGTCTCAATTTGGGACACCCCTGAAGGGCCAGTCCACCTCCGGAACTCCCGTGGGTTGGTCGAGGCCTTTGTCAGTCAATCGTATCACAGTTCAGCCTCTCCCTCTGCCCCATCCTGCTTCCCTCGCTCCCCAACAGGTGCTGTCCTGATGGTGTCCCCAGTAAACCTCCTGCTCTCGGTGCCATCTCCCAGTGTCCCAGGGACCCGCCCTGTCACCACTGCTCACTCCCCACACATCCCATGGCCGACAGCCTCCCCTCCTCTCAGCCTCCCCTTAAAAATCATCTCCCCCCATTGCCCTTGTTAACATGGCACTTTGGTCCCACTCCTACCCCTGATCCCGCTAACCCTGCTCAACTCTTTTCTTTTCTTCATGCCACCTTCTAATAAACTAACTAATTTGCTATTTCTTCTGCTTATTATTGTCTGTTTTCTCCCCTCCAGGGCGGGGACCTTCGCCTGTTGTGTTCACGGATGTGTCCCAAGGGCTTAAAACAGCATCTGGCACCCAGGGGATGCTCAACTAACATTTTTTGACGGACAAGTGTACATAAACATGCCTAGCAAGGGGGTCTGTCACACGTGGTCGGCACTAAAAGATGTTGGTAGAACTAATGAATGAATAAAGTGCTGGCACAGGGGAAAATCACCGTCCCTTCCATCCTTTGGCCAATGTAGGAGTTTAACTGATGGGAAAAGACCTTTTGCGCCACAAATTATTTCCATATACCTAGAGAGTTTCTCAGCATTTCCCACCGAGACCTGAGTGGCTGAAGGAAAGGAGAGAAGACTCCTGAGGGGGCCCAGCCCAGGGCCTGCCTCTGGAGAGCAGGTGTTCCGTAAGCTTTTGTGAATGAACATTGAACAAGGTCGTGAGAGCAGGGGAGCAAAAATGCGGTACCTCCAGGGAACTACCAATAAAATAAAACTTTAATGTAATAAAATAAACTTGTCTTCTGAGAGTTAAGTTATAAAACCAGGTCAGAGCAGCACTGAACAAAGGCAGCTTGTGACAAGTGCACCATTTTCGGTCCTACATCTGCTCTTTGTTCCCTGGCTCCATGAGAGGCCATTCATTCAGGCTGTCCCCACCTGAAACCCGGGCGTCATCCTCTCCCTCAGGCCCCATATCTCACCGGTACAAAGTCCTGCCCACCCTACGTCTACCCATCCCTCAAATTCAGTTCATTTAATTGAAATGAAACCACTTTTGTTCCAACCGTACCACCATGGTTCTGACTATCCTCTTACCAGGCAACTTTCTGGTTATAATTTGGCTTCCCGGGTTGGTCTGTAGAGCCCTTATCTAGGTGACAGTCACATGTCTCCCTGCAAACTAACAAGGGACATCAGACTTGGGAGCAAGGCTCTTGGGAGACTTCATGCTCTCAGGTGTTCCTGTGGGCCAGGTTGGCGGTTGCTTTGTACCCTCCCAAACCCCACCTGCAGGCACTGTGGCTCTAGGGGCTTCTGGTCATCTGCCAGTGACACCCTGTCCTATTTTACCTGAAATTTCAAGTTACTCCAGGAAGATGCAGAAACCATTGGTGCCCGCGGGGGCCAAGGTAGTAGGGACTGAGGTGAACGAAAAAAAAAAAAGTAAAGGAAGGTGGCAATAAATGAGAAGCCAGAAAGGAGATGGGAGAAGGGGGATTGAAAATGTAGTGATACCTTCCCACCAGGAAATTGGCTGCAGCCCCAGAGGGAGCCGTCACAGAGGTGGAGTGAGGCAGCCCTGCTTTGCAAAGGGCAGGACTCTTCTGTGGCCGCCTCAGAGGAGAGCGTGACTTTAGAGGCAAGAGTGCTTCCTTCATTAATTAACATTCACAGAACCTCTTCAGGGTGCATGTTCTTCCCAGAATGTACAACACCACAAATCTGTTTGACCGCAGGGGCACCCTAACGAGCTCTGGACTGAATCCGGGCCCCTGGGTCTCAGCCCCAGCGCTGCAGCTCTCCAACAGCCCGACCTTGGGATGGTCTCTTTGGACCTTGGTTTCCTCATCTATATTCCTAATCAGAACTACCACATGCAAAACTGTTATAGTTCACAAAGCATTTTCACAGATACCATCTTATGTGATCAGTGGAGCCTCAGATGTGGGGAATGATTTTTACACTTCAATGGAAGACACTGAAGCTAGCATACAAAGCCTCCCAGCGTTCCCCCACCCCATCTCTGCCACCCTACGAGTGAGCTCTTCAATACAGCAAGTGTTATCTGGAGGCCACACGCCCTTTTCATAATCTAGAAAGGACCAAAGGACAGGGGTGGAAGGTGGTGAGCTGGAAGGATGAAGCACAGAAAGAAAAGGGAGAGAACACTGTTATTACTGTCTCCCGTGTTCTGTTGCTTTTGGTGACAGGATACCAGGGGGAACGTGGACCAGTGTGAAAGACGCTAGGCTGCTGCCAGGACCTTGGCTGAGTCTCCTGGGAGGAAAGATGAAACACGGGATGGATGTCAGAGTTCACCCTCCCTGCAGGTCCCACACCACTCCCAGTAGCCCTGCAGACGCTTTCCCTTCACCCTCTCCTCCACACCCTTTCTTTCCGGGTAACTTGCTCCCAGGTTATTGATGGCTTCGTTCCCCCACCCAATTCACGCGAGCCTCTTTCCAGTTCACTGAGTTTTTTGCTTCACCCAGTCTGCTCTGCACGGGGCCCTGTCTCTGTGAAAGGCGGTGGCTGGCACTGAAGGAACGCAGGCTTGAAAGTCCAGTGTGCCCGCTATTCCCAGGAGAACACCAGCCACAGCCTGTCCTGCCAGGTGAGAGGGGAGGCAGAAACATGGCTACCTGTAAAAGAAATATCTTGGGGCTTGTTGGGCCATTCCTGCACCTCCCAGTGTGGGTCCCCAGCCACGTTTGCCCTACCCGACCCCCCTGCTGGCCTCAGCTGATTGGCCCAAGGGTGGACACGTGACCCAAACTAGCCAGTCATCTCATCCCTTCTGAGAATTTAGAATTAAGACCAATAGGAGGACAGCCAATCGGTCTTTGCCTGTGGCTAGAACTAGAACATGTACTCTCTGGACAGGGGCCTGCCATGGTCTGCCATGGAGACAGGGGGCATAGAAAGTTGTCAGGAGATGAAGGCGAGGGAGAGAGAGAGAAGCAGGCACTTGAACAGGAGAGAGAAGAGAGGGTGAGCGGATACCTTCCAGGGTGAGGCACACTTCTAGGTAGTTCCTTCCTGAAGTCTGACCACATGCCTGCCTTGAGGTTCTGCCTGGAATGAGACTTCCTTGTATCCTTATAATAAACACCTACATTTTAAAACCTACTTCCAATGGGTTTCTGATACTGGAACCCAAGAGTTTTAAGCAGTGCACCCAAGACCATGGGGGGCTCCCTTCTGCACTTGGGCATTCCATTCACATCCTTGCCTCCTCCTGGCTCTCAGGAGCCCTGCACTCCACCACAGCACCCCCTCCAAAGCACACAGCCTGTGGGCTTCTCCCCACCTGTGCCAGCCGCACATTCCCTGACTGAAGTCTTCCCAAGCTTAGGAGGCCCTTTCTTTGGCCTGATCCCTTCATTGAACAAGGCGCCTGCACGTGGCCCAAGAACTGGCAATGTCTCTGATTGCACCATCTTTTCAAAGGGGGATTAATTGGCCTGAGGGAGTTTCTCTTGCTTACCCAGGGAATGTATTCCATGATGATAATCGACATCTGCTGGAATGTTCTGCCAGCCTGGCCCTGGGCTATACATTTGATGTACAATTTCTATCAAGAGGCAATGAGGGGGCTTCCCTGGTGGCACACTGGTTAAGAATCCGCCTGCCAGTGCAGGGGACACGGGTTTGAGCCCTGATCCGGGAAGATCCCACATGCCGCGGAACTAAGCCCATGTGCCACAACTACTGAGCCTGTGATCTACAGCCCGTGAGCCACAACTACTGAGCCCGCGCACCTAGAGCCCATGCTCCGCAACAAGAGAAGCCACTGCAATGAGAAGCCCACGCACCGCAACGAAGAGTAGCCCCTGGTCGCCACAACTAGAGAAAGCCTGCACTCAGCAACGAAGACCCAATGCAGACAAAAATAAAAAAAAAAAAATTAAAAAAAAAAAGAGGCAATGAGGAGGAGGGGCTGAGGAGGGGAGACCCTTTCTTCATTGGCGCCTACACTCAGCTCTGCCAGCGGTGCAGCCTCCGATTCCTTCACTCCAGAGATTTGCAAAAGGAGAGAGTTCCTTTATAGTATCAACAGCAGTTCAGGGCCAGAAATGCAGAATGACAGTAGGGCTCTCAAAGGAGGGCTCTCGTTTTTGGCATCTTCATGAGAAATAAAGAAATGCACCCCTCACCACCACCAAATTGGGGCCAGAAAAGCTGAGTTGTAAGGACTGCAGGATGCAAGAAAATGAGTTTGCAATTATAACGGCAAACCGGAAGGATCCTCCTAGGTGTGACCCAGGCAGTAGCATTGCCAATATCACCATTTGGTCTCGTCAGTGTGCTTCACCCTGTGCAAACTCAGTGTACAGCTAATCAAGCAACACACTGAAAAGATGTAGTAGGTCAGCTAATTAAATCCCAGCAAAGACTGACCTGAGTGACTGAATTTAAGAAACACACGCTAGGTTTTAAAAGTCAACAACACGCACTAGTAGATTACAAGTGTCAAGAACTCAAACCCAGATGATTTTTTAACAAAGGAGGAAGCAGTCTTTGCTTTCCTGGTCCTGCACTGTCCAGTTTGGCCAAGGCCAGGCCTTCACAGCCACACCTGATAAATTGAAATGCCAGCATCTGAGAACCCTTTACGGGGTCTTTGGATTTTGCCACTCACCTTGGAAAGGTCCACCAGGGTGTTGGCTTGGTCACTCAGCTTCCTCTGCTCCATCTTGACGCTCCTCAGTCTGCGGGAAAGAGTCGTAACAGCCATGCTCTTCAAGCGCTGGGCTCAGCCCCGTGGGCAGATTCCACACCCACATCAATTCACCTGGCTTTGGAACCCAGCCCAGGACCTCGAACATGGGTGACAACTGACCAGAATCAAGGGCTTGGCAGGTCCCCAAGAAAGCAAACTCCTGCCTCCACGTGTGCCTACCTTCAGTCATTATAGTTTCCGCACCACTCTCAGGTCATTTCTCGGCTTCTGTTCCTTTATCTAGGCTGTGCCTTCCACCTTAAGTGCCCTACTCTCAGCCTTTCAGCATTTCCCCAAGCCTCCAGGTCAGAATAAATGTTTTCATCCTCTACTTTTAAAAATCCACTATACTTTTTAAATACTTAGCTTACAGAAAGCACTGACCACAATTTGTTCTGCTTCCAGTTGTAATGTGGGGTGTGTGTGTGTGTGTGTGTGTGCACGCGTGCGTGTGTGTGTGTGTGTGTGTGTGTGTAGACTATGAGAGCCCCCTGAGGCTCCTACCTAATTTTTACCTTCCATAGCAGTCTGTCCAATGTCTGGCAGTGGCAGGTACAATAAGTGAATAAACAGACTGATCTGCGTCCAGTTCACCACCCCCAGTGGTTGTTGAGTGGAAAAGAATGGATTTCTCCTGCTCCTCTAAGTATATGAGAAGACACTGATGGAGCTCTGGGGAACCCACCACTTCTAATCTGGTCCTCTGGTGGCTGAGCTGCCCCGGCCTACTCACTGGTGGATTGCTTGGAGGAATTTCCTCTGGTGTTTCCTGACTTTGGCGTGGTCAATCTTCTTTAGCAGCTTTGTGTGTTTATAGATTAGCCACGTTTCCCGAAGGACATTGGCCGCAGCATTCTTGATCTAAGGAAAAGTAAATAAAACAGACTGCTATCAGGTAAATTTCCCTAGGTTCACATAACATGTTTTGTTATGTCTGTCGATATAGTCTACCTTATAAGGAAATGATTCTGCAACGATCTTTTTCCTTAATGAAATCATGAACTCTTAGAAAGGATTATTAAAATTCACCTCTTATTAATCCTGTATTGGACACGGTAGCCTGGAGCCCGAAGTTGAGGGGTGGTTCCTGTCTCTTTCTTAATTATTTCAGGACTGCCTATCCACTGTTGTTGCTGATGCTATATTTAGATAGGCTACATTACCAAGACCTGGAGGCCTGGGGCACACTTTGAATAGATAAATATGTACCACTGCTGCCCGTGGATGCAGACTTCCATGCTCTACGTGGGATTTCTATTTAGTGTACATGGTACATTTCTGGGGTTCACAGAGTAAACAGATTTCCTGTCAGCTAGAGATTTTATTTATTTATTTAAAATTTGTATACCATTTTTAAAGGTTACTTTCCATTTACAGTTATTACAAAATATTGGCTATATTCCCCGTGTTGTCCTATACATCCTTGAGCCTATCTTACACCCAGTGGTTTGTTTCTCCCACTCCCCCAACCCCTATGTTGTCCCTCCCTGCTCCCCACTGGTAACCACTAATTTGTTCTCTTTACCTGTGAGTCTACTTCTTTTTGGTTATATTTACTAGTTTGTTGTATTTTTTAGATTCCACATATAAGTGATCTACAGTATTTGTCTTTCTCTGTCTGACTTCTTTCACTTCAGCTGGAGATTTTACAAGGCCTCTCTGAGGAAATGTCTTTCCCACCGAATAGAACTCTAGGTATTAACAAGTCCATTGTTTCCTTTCCCAAATGGCAAAAAACATTTACACTGCAATTTTACATGTAAATGTAATTGGCATAAAACTGAAATCACTTCCAAACAGTGTCTGAAAATCAGTGAAGATATTTTGGTGTGAAACCAGAGCTGCCTCTCTCCCAAGGCTGGCTCTTTCACTGCACTGCAATCACACATTTCAACATATGACGCTGTCATCTGTTGACATGGAAACCACTGATCTCACCTGGCTCACGACAGAGCTGAGACATATCAATGGCATCCAGATGGCAGGGGACAAAGTTTTAATCCAAACACAGACATCTTCAGCAATTAGTAACAAGAGCAAGAGGAAACATTTCTTATTAAGCACAAGCGAAACAGATTTTTGATTAACTGTTCCCATTTCTGTCAGCCATGCAAACTGGCACAGGCCCACAGGCCCAGGGCCTGGAAGTAAGTAGGCCAGCCTAGTAGAAATCAGGTTACTAGCCAGAAAGGATTTTAATAAAATTGGAGAGTACAGGCCTGCTTCCTCAGACTGACATCAACAGATGGGACGTTGTTAAAATACTGAGACGTGTGGGAAGGCCTGGGAAACATTGTTTTGCAGGCTGATAACTTCTGTGTGTATGTTTTAAAAATTTATTACTAAGGCTGGATTATATTTTTCATTGGCGCTGGAGTGATATTCTAAAAGAACAGCTAGGTCTTCTCAGAAATGTCTAAGTGACATAAATACTGCCTTTTTGTTCAGTAAAAATCTACCGTGAAGATGGTTTTAAATGACTTAATTGTCCACCTTTGGTACTTTCTTGCCTGAAAGGAAGCAGGTGGTGGTGAGAAGAAGCAGGTGGTGGTGAGAAGCTGGAAATGGTAAGTGTCCAGGTGAGGAGGGGGGAGGTAGAGGAGGGTGTGGTCACCGGGGTCCTGTCCAGGGGCTGGAGTGGACATCAGCCTCCTGGCAAAAGAGGCAGCATAGAAGGGAAGGCTCTCTCTCTGTGGAGTGCCTACTCCTGCTGCCCTTCTGTGGGAAGAGGGCAACTTGACAGATGGTTTTTTCAGTTTCCCTAGGTGCTTAGCCTCCAAGGAAAGCCTCACAGAAGAAACAGGAGGGAAAAACCTGCCCAGCATGTCTGATGGTCGGCAGAGCCCCAGTTACACGGGTCTTGTCTTTGGAACACTGACAGAGCCATGGAGTGTCAGCGCTGATGAGCCTTTGACAACTGTCTCTGTGTTGGTGTGGAACAAACATTTGAAATTGGAGAGGCTGCAGGTGAATCCTTCCTCTGCCAGTTTAGGAGTAAGTGCTTAACTATCTATAAGAAGGGAAAAGTAAATCCTTACCTTAAGGGCTGTTCTGAGGCCCAAATGAGGCAATAACCATGGTGCTGATGGTGCTGAGGCTAAGAGTGGACATCTACCAGGTGCCGCTTTACCTATGTGTAAACCCAGTTAACCTTCACAACAACCCTCTCAGGAAGGTACTAATATTATCCCCATTTTACAGATGAAGAAACTGAGACAGAGACCAAGACCGTAAAGTTATAAACGGCAAACTGAGTCAATGTGGATTTAAGTGTTATAGAAACTATAAAGTACCATAAAGATACTAGTTAGTTATCATCATCTGGCCCAACCCCCCATTGAAAATATGAGGAAATGACAGCTTCAGAGATAGAATGTGAGGGCCAGAATCCCACAGCTAGCTGACGGCAAAGTCAAAACAAGAGCCAGGTCCAAAAAGAGCATACGGTTTTCATGTGGTCTGAAGAAAGACCTGACTGACTACATGTCATCTCTACACAAACAACATTATTTCCTGTTTTCCAGGATCAAGGAACTGGAAAGGACATTAGATTTGTTTTTAATCATCATGGCCCTCACTTAGCAATATGACAGAACAGGGAGTCCAGGTCCCGCACTTAACTTTAGCCCAAATATAAGGTATTAAATCACAGCACAGCCTGGGTAGTTGAGCGAAGCAGTCACGGCCTCTTTATGGCTTTGAACGGGAGGCCCCTGCGTATTCAGGAAAGCGATGTTAAATGCAAGCCTTGGTGCTGACTCTGAATTAATCGCCAGCAAACAACCTGGCACAAAGCTGAGCAGATCAATACACACAAGAGAAAAAGAAACAGGCTTTTAACTGCCTCGTGCTTTCCCACGTCGACAGTGACCGCTCTTGTGACCAGGTTCTCCCTCCAATTCACCTGGCTGATTGCTTTGGGCATCGCCGGGGTGGGAAGCAGTTGAGGCTGTGTGCCCCTCCTGGGATTCACTGAGCTTCCATAGGGCTTCCAAGCACCACTCCCTGATGGGGACTTGGGTACCCACTGACCTCTCCTAGTGGGCGGGGCACCAGGGCCAAAAGATGCTCTTGAGGGTGAGGGTGGGAGTGAGTGGGTCAGGGAACTGGGAAGGACTGGGTAAGGTTGGCCATGATCCGACGGGCTCAGGGACGGTTAGAAGAGGGCCGTTTGTGCATGGAAGACTGGCTGTTTCGTCCCCCAAACCCATAAGCATACGAGCTAATTGTTTTCTTTGGGCCCATTCATTCTCTCCCAAGAATTGTATGCTTGTACTCTGACGGTGGCCGGAGAATTGGCTCCGTGACCTATGCCCTTCAGGGAGGGCTCTAAGATTCATGAGCCCGGGCAAGAAAGTCATCCAACTAAGATCTTGCATACAATACTGACAGCTAACATTCACAGAGTGCTTACTATGTGCCAGGCTCCATGCTAAACACTTTCTGTTTACATCGTTCCACTAGCCCTCAGAAAAACCTCACAAGGGGATGAACGATCATCTCTGCCTTGGACCATTGCGGAACCTCTCTGGGACTCAATTTTCATATTCATTCCTTCCCCAAACATTTACTGAGCCCTTACAATGGGGCAGATACTGTTTAGGAAGTAAGAATACTGGGATGCACCCACCAATAACATTTCTGCCCTCAAGGAGCTTCTAATCCTATGGGGACAGCATGCCCTGTGTAATATAGTGTCAGGCAATAAGTGCTTCAGAGAAAACACAGTAGGGTCCCAATCTGTGAAATGGGATTGTGGTGTTGATTCAATGAAACACTTAGCACAGAGCCTGGCTGCACCGCGCCTCAGTACACAGTAGTTTTACTGATGTTCCTTCCCCCAACAAATGTCAGCTTCTTCCCCCACCTCCAGCGAAAGAAAACATAAAACAGGACACATATGTCTGTTCCTTGAGCTCTTGGCCGTATTACCCATGTCAACGACTTGCTCTGGCTGCCTCTCTGCCAGGGTAACCTGCCTCTCCAGACTTCGTGGAGGCTGGTGCAGGAGGAACATGTGGCAGACGAGGGGCACCCTTCTTCACCTGCCCCCATGCTCCCGACAGCCACAGGGAGCCCTGGGAGAGAAATTCCAGGAGCCCTACTGATGGGGCCCCTGGAAAGAAATAGCATGCCCTCCATGCTGCCAGGACTCCCTCCCAGGGAGAGGGAAGTTGGAGAGGAGGGCCGATCAGCCCTGGCAAGTGTGTGTAACTTAGACAACTTCAAGAAGTTCCAGGGGTTGAATTTAGATGAATAAATCTAAAGGGATGATAAAATCGCAATCTGAGAGCCCTCAGGTCAGGCCTGTCTTCAGACACCTGACTGAAGGTGTCCATTATAACCGGTGGGGGTCCCCTCTTCTCCATCCGCCAACCCCTCACTTCCCTCACGCTCACCCACACACACTTCCTGCTGGCTTCCTGCCGCTGCCATCTCTTTCATCTCCCCCCTCATACCCTCTCTTCTTCCTCCCCCATCCTATTCCACACTCCCTTCTCAGGCTTCTCTGCCCACCTTAACCAGAAGCCCTCACCCAACACTTAGAAACGGGGGCTCCACCCCTGTGGCTGGCAGGACACTGGGACAGGGAGCACGGAGGGATGTACTTCTGTGGTTCAAAGTTGGAGTTTGTAGTCTTTCCCCACAGCAGCACAGTACTGAACCACGGCTAATTCCATAATGCTATTAATGTGATGCTCAGCTAGTTTGGAGGTAAACTGGCTTTTCTTTCCAGCAGACCTGGGACCCTAACCACCATTCTGAGTTCCAAGGAACTGGCTGTTCTGGGAAACCCATTGGGTTATGGCTGGAGAGCTGCCTGCCAGCCTGAGAACAAATGGCAGCCTTGGCTGGGACCCAGCTCACTGCATATGGCTGGGGGCCCACACTTGCCCATCTCTGGGCCTGAGAGGCTCATCCCTAAGAACGCTTCCAGCTCAAAAGCTCAATGTTCCTATGACTATTGTTAAAGAAAAACTGTACCCAGTCTGTCTGGGACAGAACTTTAGTGGGTGATATAATTTATAATCCCCTTCTGGGGAGAATTAGCATTCCTGATAACTGCTCAACTGATTATCTGATAAATTTTTAAAAGACTAAGACCTGTTCTGGGAATCCACTCATGGGCCCTACCAGCTGTCAGTCAGGAGTCTGTGTCCTTTAGCCAGGCTTTCTGTACCCTGTACAACAATGACTACCATTGTCTTTTCCTATAAAAGACCCCTACTATGAGTAAACCTTTGAATTAGGCTGCTGGAAAAAAAAAAAAACATTTTTCCCCCCAGCAGGATTATGATAAAACTTTGACACATGCTCATAATTAAAGAAAAGTTTTCGGGACTTCCCTGGTGGTGCAATGGTTAAGAATCTGCCTGCCAATGCAGGGAACACAGATTCGAGCCCTGGCCCGGGAAGATCCCACGTGCCGCAGAGCAACTAAGCCCAGGCGCTGCAACTACCGAGCCTGTGCTCTAGAGCCTGCAAGCCACAACTACTGAGCCTATGTGCCACAACTACTGAAGCCTGGGCACCTAGAGCCCGTGCTCCGCTGCAAGAGAAGCCACCGCAATGAGAAGCCTGCACACTGCAACGAAGAGTAGTCCCCACTCGCCGCAACTAGAGAAAGCCTGTGCTCAGCAACGAAGACCAAATGCATTCAAAAAATAAATAAATAAAAATTTTAAAAATTAGCCCTATTTAAAAAAATAAAGAAAAGTCTTTTTTATCAGTGGATCAGTAGGTTCTGGGGGGTTATTAAAGGTTTTTGAGCAGGTTGGTGATATGTTCAGAGCTAAGTCTCAGAGTCTAAGGAGAGTCACAAGGAAGCAAAGTACAGGATGGCTTGGGTAAGGGAGGACCAGGTGAGATGAGAAGGTAGCAAGCAACTGAGATGGTACAAGACTGAGATGGTGGCTTTGAGTATGGTGGGCAGAGGAGCTGGAGAGGCTGGTGTGGCCAGGTGGAATCAGACTCCAAAGCTGCTCGGACCCCTGTGGGGACCAGGGCAGAGAGGAGTCAGAGACGCTGCTAAGCTTTCAGGCCTGGAGACTGGAAGAACAATGATGTCATTAACAGGGAAGGCAGGAGAAGGCACTAGTGTAGGGAAGATATGGGTTTGGTTTTGGTGTTACTCATTGATTTCATGGGGAAATTGTACTTGGATGAAGTATTTGAGGCAGGAACCCATCGTGGCAAGGATAAGGAGACAAAATCCTCAGCCAGTGGCACACATCACAGAGGTGTCTGCAGGTTTGATGTGGAGAGGAGGCGTGGCAAACAGAACGTCTCCTGTCCGTGGTGCCTCTGAAGTCAAGTGTGTCCACGGGCAGCTACCTTGCTCTTTAGAAAGGGGAGGTGCTCTTTGAGGACAGGCAGTAAGTATGAGGGCAGGTACCATCTCTTACTCATCTTGGTGTCCCCAGAACACAGGGAGTGCCATCCAGCTGTGAGGGATGTGTTTCGTTACCTAAAACAGCGACAGGGGGATGTGTAGCATTGAGTGGGAGAAAAGGTGGGGACCTAGTATCTTTTTTATAGTCTCTCTGTGTGTCATTTACATATATATTACCTAGTAGCCCAGAGGTTAGCAATAAATTATAATTCTAGATTAACAATGGCAGTAACACTGCAAAGTCAGTGTGGGAAGATCTGATTGCATTAAATACAGAAATGACGTTGCCACCAGAGTTGACAAGTTATACAAGTGAGAGAAGAAAAGCCACGGGAATCAGGAAAACCAGAACTGAGTTCCGACCCTGTGCCATCAGACCACCGCCGCACCTGCCCCCGCCTCCCTGGCAAATAAATGAATAAAAACAGTGTGACTCTAGTGGTAAAGTCTGGGCTGAAGCCTTTACAGCAAGACAGGCAGAGTAAATAAAGACTAGAACAATCTGAGTATTTTTATGATTAATAGGTTACAATTCCTCTTTTTTGTTTTTTTTGCTTAGAGGTTTGAAGAATTAAGATTGCATGTATTGTAAGAGATGGCTTTTCTCTGTTAAATCTATTAATTGTCCTCTCTTGAGAGGTTTGCAATTATGTCCCAATCAGCTCCTCCAAAGATCGGATCTTTCTCTGCGAATTCACTGAGAATTCACTGTGAGTTCTGTTTGACCCATGAGCCACTCCTGCTGGACACAGTGGGCCGCTTGGAGAGGACAGAGGATGGATGAGGTGTTGCCAGGGGAAGAAAGGTGGGCTTCTCTGAGACCAGGTCAAGGGGAGCTGAAGCCAGAGCAGGCCAAGCTCACAGCCAGTTTCCTTTCAATCAAGGTTAGGTAAAAGAGTCTTGCCAGCTTTGAGAATCCTCTCTCTGTGAGAGCCACTCCTTTCATGTTGTTTGTTTCTCTGGGAAAAGATATTAGATATTAAAGGGACATTTCAACAGATTTAAGTGTTCTCAGAAAAGTGAGATGTTATTCGATAAAAAGATGCCTTGTACTCATAGATGGGCAATAAATATTTGTTGATTTTATTTTCGGTCCCACTTTTCAAAAAGTAAGCGGACTTGAGGAGGATTTTAGAGAATTATTTTTGAAAGCTTGAAATTAGCGACCACAATTTCATCTCCTCGTACAATTATATTGCAGAAAAGTTGTTTATCTTCCTGTCACGTGAGGGAGTTGGCTTTCCTCGGCTTTATTTTCCTCTAATGTCTGATTCACAGAGTGAAAAATGGAGAGGACAAAGGAATAACATGATATACACAGTATATCCTTGGTTTCAAAAAGCAAATAGAATAAACAGAGAGTCTGTTAACGTCTCTGCTCTAAGAAACAGCTTCTGAGAAGGTTTTGGAGGCTAGACTCCCTTGCCTCTGACTCCTGCACTGAATTGTTCCAGGAGAATAGAGGCAACTTTGGTAATTTGCTCAATACTTAGCATGACTTCTGCACGCTTACTAGGGGGTTGAAGGAAAGCAGCTAGGTTACAGGGCTCTGGGTGGAACCCGGCTGGCCTACCCACGGGTATGGCCCTCAATCCTGCCATCTTGATGATACAAATCATGTTTTTGCTTGTACCACGGACACCTCAGCGCCAGGATGTACCATATACAACCATCTGTATGGCAGCGACATTAGACTATTTGCCTGTACCCCTTCTTTTTAACATCTGTGGAGGCTCTTTAAAGAATCCAGTACATGTAATCAAAGACCAAACAATCAAACACCATAAATAATTCTGCTGAGAAACTGGAGAGGCCTTGGCAACTTCCCATTCCCCCACGCCTCCCTCTGAGTGAGCACGCTCACCCTTTGTCACTCTCCCTCTCTTTTTGTTCTCCCTTCCTGCCTTTGTCTCTATTTAGAACACATTTTTACTGTGCTGCAACATCCATCACTGAATATTTTCTCCAGCTTTCAAAAACCCCAATCAAAATCTCGTTGCTCGTGGGTCTCCTAACCCACTTTAATCCTAAATGAGAAACTTGTCAGAGCGGCCAAGACCCCAGCACAGGGTCTTGCTTCGCTCTCATTTCGGAAAGAGGAGAGTTTTGCAGGAAATCATACTACTGACCTTCGTTCAGCCTGCAGCTCTAAAGAATTTTCCATAAAAGCTGTCATTAAATAAACAGCGTCTGCCATGCTCATTTGGCCTGCTGTTATCCTGGAAGGCTCGTTTCTGTCTCTTCTAAATGGGCCTTTTCTTCTCTGACAATTCAGTGGGGTGTCAGACTTTTAGCAGCTAAATGATCTCCCCATTCCCGCTTATATTCAGTTTTTCACCCTCCTTACCCACTTTCATGACGTTACAAGGGAGAAACGTTATTTGGAAAACCCAAAAGGGGGAAAATTGGGTGATGACATTTTGATGAACGTTATTTAGGAGTGATTGTCTGTAATGATTTTTTTTAAAGGGTTGGATTTAGATACATTCCCAATATCGTTTTTAAGACTTTCTACTGCCCTTCCTAAGGAGAATCATGAAAACATTTAAGCATAAGCAAAAACACCTCATGCTGGGTGATCTACTCTGTACCATTAGGCAAGGGGAGCGGGTTACATCATTGTATGCTATAGATTTAATTATCAGGAAAATTATTTGGTTGCCTGAGCCATGCACAGTGATTTAAGAGAAGACAGGAGCCTTCAGCGTTGGGACATCGTGCCCATTTTGCGCTGGCTGTTTGCATGTGTCTGGGGCTCCCTCAACCCTCCACTGAAGGGTGTGGCCCTAACCCACTGTGGCTACTTTCTGACTGGCTCCCATGTTGGTCTTAAGTCCCCCGTTAAGATGTGGACAGTGGCGTTTTACCCGTTTGGTGAGCTGAGTGTCCATCATGAAGTTGTGAACGTGCTTCTCTGCTTTGGTGAGTTCCAGCTTTCGGGCCACCACGGCCACCACCAGGGCAGTACAGCCCGCACCCTGTGAGGGGACAGCAAAAGGACCAGAGGAGAGAGCACATCATTAAGAGGCAGGGCTCAGGCGGAAGACTCCACGTGCCCCGGGCCCATGATGGGGTCTCCAGGAGTGGAGTGGGGACTTGAATTCTGGCTGGACAAGGCCAAGCCACAAAACCCATCAGGGCCCTGATTCCCGCACCCATGAAGGGGTCTGCGGTGCTCCTGGCTTAGCTGCAGAGCTGACCTCTGGGAGACTGAGCCTTCGTAAAGCTGGCCACTTCTTCATGGAGCAGGATACTGGATGGGGCTGAGGCTCGGGGGAATTTAAAACACCGAACGATCACTTGGTCATCTGCCAGGGTGTGCAGGGAGGACAGAAAATCCACACACGCTCCCCCTCCCTCATGCGTAACCCAGCCCCACTGCCAGCTCCAGAGCAGGGGGCCAGGAGGAAAGAAAGCCGTGCAGTATGGATGGATCACCTGTTGGTGGTGGAGAGTTTTCCTGAAAATAATCTAAGGAAGAGGCAAAGCATCACCCCGCCAAGACTGCTTCCCAGGGCTACACTGGTTGGCATGAGTCTGTGCACCCAGTGACTGAGCTTGCTCCCAGTTGGGTCTTTTCACTGGAGGTCTAGCCTAGGACTCAGCGCAAGAAATTCAGTTCCTCTTTGCTTTCACCAGGAGGCTCATGAATTCACCATCTTTCAGAGATTTCAAAGATGATAACAACACGCCTGCCTCAAATCAGGATTTTAAGGGAACCCGCAGAAGGCGCTCAGTATTCTCCAGAGCAGAATTCTTATTGTGCTCTGGAAGGTCCACTCCGGGGAAGCCCAGGGAGAGTGAGTTAAAGAGGCCGCTTCTTCAGGACTCACTTCCTCTCTCCTAATCCTCTGGGCGCATGCTTGAGTGTCTGAGAAATGAGCAGAAATGGGCTCATCCCAACATTCTTCCAAAGGACTTTGAAGTCCTCTTTGCTGTGCATCTTGGCCTGGTCGGGGTGGGGGGTGGGAATCGAGACAGAACTGCCCCTGCCCTGCTTCTCCTGCAGGCAGCAGATGACAGCCCCGCCCTTGCCTGGTTCTTGGAAGAGAGCACACGCCCCTCGGTGACCATCACCCTCTTTCTGCACGTGGGGCCCTGCACCATCCTGACCTCCACTCATGGAAAGCGACAATAAGCTCAGAAAAGTCAGCAGTCTGATCCTCTAGATGCCAAACAGTAATCATAGTTGCCACAGAGCTCAGTTTAGCAATTGAGGTCCTAGGATTGAAGGAATCCACCAACAACACTTGCGGCTCATCCAGTTTAACGGAATACATAGGGAACCTTAAAGACTGTTTTCAAAGGTACTATAATCCGTACCAGAGTTGGGCGGAATGCACATGGTAGATCAATCCCCTACTCTCTCCTTCATAATCTCTTTCCTTTGCCACAGGTTGGCAAACGTTGGTCGGTGCAAGGTTTTGGCACGGGTGAAGTTGGCAACGCTTTCCCCTAGCTTTTTACAAGGGTTCCCATGAAAACAATCTCATGTTTCTAGGTACACTTGGTCAGCCACCCATTTCTAGCACAACAAACTGAAAAGAAAGGAGCCTGTGTGAACTTTCCTCTTCTGACCTCATTTTCCTTTCTTGTTCAGGGACGGCCCTGTTTTCTTGGCATCTGTGACTTGCAGGAGACTCTGTGCCCAGTTTTCAAAGGATATGTATGGGCCCTTGGACAGCCTGGTCTGCAGGTGTCATCAATTGAGCCAGGCCTCTAAAAGCAAAAAATAGCTTAAAAAGAAGCTGTTCTAGAGGGAAGATGTGTGCTCCATTTCCCCTCAAGCAGACCGAGTATATAATCCCTCTCTTTTGTATGGAGCTACAAAAGAACTTTGGGCTGAACGCCCAAAAAAGGGATATATCGCCGTGTTAAAAACGGAACGTCAGATGGAGAGGGTTCTTCCCAGGCTCCAGGCTTCCTCATTTCCCTGAGTGCAGGGAAACTCTGCTTAAATCACTCCTGAAAGCTGGGGGCAGAATTAGCCTGAAGGAGTCTCCCTGCTCACCACGCCACGTTGGAGGTTTCATTAAAACAATCAACCATCCACAATCCCGAAGTTCCAGGGTCTAGCTGGATTGCTCCATGGTTCTCGCTAGGGCTCACAACCTAGGCTGCTGAATGCAGAAGGGTTCTAATGAGAAGCTAGAGTGTTCTAACTAAGGAAGCGTCTATCTTATATGATTAAGATTCATTTCTGCACGGAGGCAGGAGGCTGGGCTAGATGACATTTCCCGGTTTCTTTCAACTTGAAGATGTCAAGGCTCTCCTATGGATATTTCTCTGAAGGATGCTTGGTTCTTAGCCCCTAATTCTAACTTGAATAGATAACAGTGGATACTTTCAACTTTTCTTTTAGAAAATCCATCATCTGGCTGAATTAGGGAAGTAGCCAATAATGAAGCCTAATCTGGTCATTCCCATTAAGAGGCAACCTTGTAAAGATGGGGTCAGACGTCAGCAACCTTCAGAAAGTGGTGTTCAGGGTGCTGAAATACAAACTGATCCTCTCCAGTGTGTGTGTGTGTGTGTGTGTGTGTGAGAGAGAGAGAGAGAGAGAGAGAGAGAAAGAGAGAAGAGTGGGGGAGGGGAGGGAAGGGAAAGGAAGGGGAGGGGAGAGGGGAGATGCAGAGAGATATAGAGCTGGAGCAGAGACTGAGAGAGGGAACAAGTTGTGCTGCCTCCTCAACAGCATGGGACAGACAGGGGAAGTGGAAAGGAAGAAGCAGACAAATAGGAAAAAAGGATGGGCTGATGGGAATTGAGTGGAAGGCAGGAAGGACAAGGAGCCTAAGACTTGAGTCAGAAGCTGATGGTCAACTTTGGCTCTTTAGAGGAAATAAAGGAAGCACTATGGGATTCCCCCTCCCTCCTGCTGTATTCACCTTTCATGTGGTATAATGATCACCTGTGTTCCTTTTGGGCCTTTTTACTTAGATGAGTTTATCAGCCTGACAGGGCCCTGTTAGCAGTTTGGGAATGCTTATGTGATACGGCAGGGATGCGGGTTGGTTTTAAGAGACAAATTGCCAAGGGCTTGGCTGATCTGGGTGTGTGAGAGCTCCTGCTGTCCTAGCTGTCCTCGTGTGGAATCTCAAAAATGGTTGGTGGGCAGGGGGGCCATGTGAGGAGAGATCGGAGTGGGACAGAAGAGGGTAAGCAGCTGCTGGGATGACTTCCATGGGGTCAGACTGTGCAGCAAATCCATGACTCAGACTTTTGCCTTCAGAGGTGCCAAGTCCTGAATCCTTTTTGACACCAGCTGAATTCCCTGGGTCTTCTCTGTCCAACACTATTTCCATGGGAGGGCTGTGGGAGGGGAGAGGGTTCACCTCTAATGAGGTCGTACTTGCCAAGGTACGTGGTGAGCAGAGTACAGGAGTGAACACAGAGAGGAGCAGCTGGCCTGAGGTCAGCATGCCTAACTCATCCATAGATCTGGACCCAAATCAGAGACCCAGTCTCCTCCACTCTGGTCCTCCTACTCCTTGTTTCCAAGAGACATTTTCCAGCTGGAAAACCTTAGAGTCTCAAAAAAACAAGTATCCCAAGGGGAAAAGTATGAGGTGTACTTAACTAAAGAAGCAAAAAATAAAATAAAATAAAACATAAATGAAAGTGACAAATGGAGGAGGGAAGCCCGGAGGATTTACAGTTGGATTCTGTTTCTGCAACAGATACCATGTAACAACTAAAATAACATCAATTGGTTTGAAACCAAGGTGTTTCAGGGAGAAGCTCATCCTCTAAAACTGACATTAAGCAGATGTCTTACTGAGCCCTCTTTTTCCCTCCTCCCCAAATGACTCAATTCGTGCTACCTTTTACTTCATCATCCCTTTCCTTTTGCAGTTCAAAGAAGCCTCTCTCATGAAGCCTCGGGGAAAAGCAGCTCAGTGACCCCCACAGATATCCTGGAAGTTTTGTCTATTTGTCCCTAACTCATGAAGGGTCCACAGAGTGAGTCCAGCTTCAGAAACTGGCTATATTGAAATGGGATTCCTACCAAGGAGTCTTGGGGGCCCAAAAGTCTTCCAGATGCCTGCAGAACCAAAAAGCCTTCAAAGGCCCATTCTGGATACTAAATATTGCCAGCTTTCTCTCTGCCTTGTAACTGTCATCATAAAATTCTTTATGGAAAGATGATGCACTTTGAGATACCTGCTTTTGTGGGTGAAATCTCTCAAACACACCAGGTCTGTGCCAACAACGTCAAGTTGTTCAGACAATTATATACCCTGCTTAATGGTTGATAATTACACCGTTACTGGGATTGCCAAGAGAAAACAATGATTAAGACTATTTACAGCCCGCACACACGAATTCTTCCTTTCCCTTCCCGAGCAGGCCTTGCCTTGGCCTGCCTGGTGTCCATGGTAACCAAACAGGAAGCCCTACCTTTAGTAAAGGCACTTGCAATAATAATCAGGAGATGTACAAAGTGTCGGGAGGCTGGGAGAGGGGAGGAAGGGATTCTCAGCCATGCGAAACCCTGGAAAGGAGTGACTCAGCTGGAAAAGTCACATTTGTTAGTAAAAATGCCACCAGGGTTCCTCACTGTCAGACCCCAGAGGGAGGCAGCTGATTTTAATTTGGGTAAACACACTGACAATGAGAGGAGGGGAGCTCCCCGTCCCTGTCATAGATAGGTGTATATTTACGCAGCAGGGTTTGTGCAAAAGGAGAAGGCAAAATGCATGTGCTGTATTTTTAATATGGGGGGTGGGTATCGGTTCCTCCTCACTTGTTTGTTCTTTCCACTTTGATCACACCTCTCTCCACAAGAAACAAACACTCCTTTCCAAGGAGCTGCTACAGCCCCAGCGGTGCTGAAGACCACACCCCAGGAGAAGGCAGGGAGGGGCCCAGGGGTCCTGCCCACCACCCCCGCCAGCCGCGCCAGCGCAGAAGCCCGGAGATGCAGGAGTGAGGGACCCAGGGAAATGGTGGCTATGGGGCCGCTTCTTGGATGGGGTACAGCTCCGTGCTGAGAGGGCGAATGGCTGGTATTTAGAAATAACGGAGGCTCCAGGCAGGGCCATCCACCTATTGGCAGCCCAGCTCCGTGCGGGCCTGGCTGAGAGCTGGTGCCGAGGCACAAAGCTTGCGCCCCACGAGCGGCTCTGAGACAGGAAAGCTTTGGCCTTCGGGTGGCATTTCATTCCCTTCTGGAAGGAAGAATCATTCCTTGGTTTCCTGGTGACAGCTGGAGCTGTGCCAGATAGACTCCTACTAACCGATGGGAGGTATTTGTTCTGAGGCCTTACACTTACCCGTGATTTACCCCAACCCCGGCGCTAAGCCTTTTCTCATTAACTGCTGCCCAGGACCTGCTAATATGCACCGGCTCTGGATTTCAGTCGAAAGGGGAGAGGACGGTGTCCAGCCGTGACCTGGCAGCGCTGGACCCCTCCTGCTCACCAGCCCCACGGCCCCAGGCCTCTGACCCTATGGCCTCTGCTGCTCTGAGCTGCCTTGTCACCGAGATCAGTCCCAGGAGGCCACCAGGCTGGTGAGGGCTTAACCCCCTTCCCACTGCAGAAAGGAGTCAATTCCCTTTCAGAAGGAGGGTTTTTTGTGTCCTCCTGGAGAAGTGGGGGTGGTGACTGAAATCTGAGGGAGCCCTTGAAGGATTTTGATGATGGGGGGCGCAGAGAGGGCTCCCTGGGGAGGGCTGCCATAACCAGCCGCGGAGACCTAGGACCAAGTGACAGGCCTCCTGTCCACCCTCACCCCCACGACACCCAGGCTTAGCTGCCCGCTCCTTCTCTGACCCTCGGCTTCCTTTTCTGAAAGGAGGACCCGGTGTGTTTATTCTGGACTCTGGGGTTCTGGGAAGGAGGTCAAAGAGCAGGGCTGCCTGTCCCGGCCAGAAAGCACAGCAAGGAGATGAGCCCTCACCCCCGGCCAGTGAAGGAGTAGCGATGGCAGGGACGCTGAGGGCTCGCCAGCACTGAAGGCGGCGCAGCTCCTTGTTGCTGACGGAGTGCGTTAACACAAAGCATTGCAGTTTGTCCCCATCACCAGCCAGGGAGGAGGGTAGAGCAGGCCTCCCATCCGCACTTTGTACTCGAGCATGCTGAGGTCCAGCAGGCTAAGTGCCCTGCCTGGAGTCCACAGTGAGGTCATGGGGTCAGAGGCCTGCGGCTGTGGGGCTGGTGAGCAGGAGGGGTCCAGCGCTGCAGCGAGCAACAGGGACTCAGACTCTGGGGTCCAACTCCCTACCCACATCTCTCCCAAACTCCGTACTGTGTGGCCATGTGATGGGCACGAGTGTGTGCAGGGGTGGGGGATGGCAGGGTGATGGGCGGGAGGAATATACACCTTGAAAGGAGGCAGCACAGCTGCTGGACACCTGGGGAGAGATGGGGATGCAGTCACAGGCTAGCTGGGTGCCAACTCTGGGAGGGAACTGGCACTCGGAATCTGGCACCTCAACATTTGGATGCAGAGGCCAAGAGTTGGCCCAGGGCCATGTCATCAAACCAAGACCGAACCAGTGGCCAACCCAGTCTAGGACACGGGTCTCTCATGGCCGGCTCAGTGAGTTCTAGCTATACTCTATCAGATGTGGTACCAAGGTCTGCGGGGCCCAGGCGACAGGAAAGAGGATAATGAACTGCAAGCCCTGATGCTCACCGGGGCTGCTGAATGGGAGCAGAGGGTAAGACCCACGGCCAGCTTCTCTCGGCCCATTTCTGGGGGGCTAGGAAGAGGCCATTAGCTGTCAGGAACCAGGACATGGTCCTATCTTAGACAAGGAAATGAAACAGTGAGAAGCCACGCAGATTTCACATCCGCCTTTCTACGTGCAGGGACACACACGCTGGCCTGTTAACTAGCAGCTGGCCCCATGCCCGGATGAGGAGGGCCCCCTGCACCCACCATAAAGGCGCTACTCCTAGCAGCATTCGGTGGGTGGGGAAGGGTAACTGGCCGAGGCAGGTACTCACCATGATGCCCGTGAGAAGACAGACACCTTTCCCACAGTATGTGTGGGGCACCATATCCCCATAACCAATGGAAAGGAATGTGATAGAGATGAGCCACATGGCACCCAGAAAGTTACTAGTTACGTCCTGCTGGTCATGGTACCTGCCGGGGGGGAAGACAGGAGTTAGTTAGTGGAACTGCCATTCCCGGGAGTAAAGGCTCTGGGCAAACCTGGACAAAGGAGGAAATGTGACATTTTGCTGAGGTGGAGACAGCAGCGATGGTGGCACACGGATCTCTTCAGGAGACTGAAGCTGCCGCAGCTCTGCCCACGCAGGTCCTGCCTACAGTTCTCCGTCCATCCCCCCAACCCCCCACCACGAGCTTGGTCCCAGCGGTAACATGTTTCGTCATGATTTGCACCATATCACAGACGTCCTTTCAGTAAAATACCTTTGGATGAAATCATGCAGTAACAAAATTTAGATTTTCCCTTCCAAGCTGACAGTCTAAATGTATGTGGATGTGATTAATCTGAAATCACAAGCTCCTGAACAAGGAAAATGTCAAAAAAAAATCACCAAACGCATTTAGCAATTTCCCCTAAGACGGCTGATGGAGCCCAAAGACTGGCACCTCCCAGGTGTCTGGAGGGAGGCTGCGGTAGCCGGGGCTCTCTTGGAGCTGTTTCCAGGGGGAGGCTCTGGAGTCTCCACGGAGCCATGGCCTCCTCTTCTGAGCTGGATGGAGGCTCGTGGCTGTCCTGCCCTGGGAGTAAGCAGCTGGAAACGTATCACCACCATTCCCTCTGCCGGATACCCATTCCACCCCGTCCTTTTCCTCCCTCCCTTCATCCCCAAACACCAAGGCCCGCTGTGGGCCAGGCTCTGTGCCAGGCACTGAGATAGAAAGATGAACAGGATACAGCCCCTGCCTTAGGGTTCTCAGCCCAGGGCAAGGGTCCATCAAGGATGCAGACATTTGTGAAAGCGTCAGTAAGTGAGTGGACGAGGCACCTGGAGGACGGGAGGGAAAGGGCAATGACCTCGACGCAAATGCAGGAGGATTAGTCAGAGGCTTGAGTTTTCCAGGCCGGCCGGGGGAAGGGAGTTCCAGGCAGAGGAAATGCTCTTATGCAAAGCCAGGGCCCAACCTGAGTGCAGCAGGTGGGCCTGGCTGCACCTGGGGTGGCAGGGCAGATGAAGGTGGGTCCTTTCTCAGAATGTTCTCTAACAGGATGAACCTGAATGACAGGGATATCACTCCTTGATAAACTCTTCCCATCAGCCTCTTGGAGGCCACTGGATGGGAAAGGTGAGATGGGGCCAGGGAGACCAAACCATCCTGGTTGGATAGAGCAGAAAGCCATTTAGGAACCTGAATCTACAGAACTGAGTTACCAGCAAGGCTTACATGACGTGCTTGGGATGGGGTCTGGTACAAGGAGGCCCCCAGAAAGTATTAGCTGCTACCGTCAGTGCTCTCCCTGAGCCCCACACCCCCACCAACAGGGTCTGGCGCCCAGTGGGCAATTGACAAATGTTGCTTTTCTTACCCTTACCCCCCGCCCCAGGTCAGGTGTGCTGGCAAGGCTGCAGATACAGGTGCATCTGGAGATGAGCGTAAAAGGAGGCAGAAGTCTGCTAATCAGAAAGGAGGTGGAGGGCACGTAAGTGGGGAATACCAAGGGCACTCTGACGGATACCGTTTATTGACTCACACTGTGTTAGCAGGAGCCACACGATGCAAACTACCCTGTGGCTAGCTAGCACTCTGTGTACAAACGCTCAGATTCTCACAACATCCTGTCAAGTGTTTTTGCAGGTAAGCAACTGGAAGCACAGAGGCATTGAGTGACTTGCCTGAAAACACACAGGAAGTAACCAAAGCAAAGCCCATGCCCTTTTCGCTATTCCTTCAGCATCAGGGAGATGGAAGCGACTGCTGTGTGCCTTGGGGAATGATGAGGAAGTGTTAGCAACAGGAGGGCACCTGGGCTCCAGTAGCAAGTGATGAGGTAGCTATGGAGACCAAGGGTCTGATTTTGGAAGGCCTTGAATTCCAGGATATGAGGTTTGGATCTGTTCTTAGAGGCCTTGGAAATGATTCTTGGTTCTTGAGCAGATGAATGACAAGATGACATGGCCCACTGGGAAGACTGGTCTGTAGGTGGTAAGTAGACTGATTAAAAAAGATGCAGCACAGGGGTGGGGTAGGCAGGTGGGAAGCAAATGCGCAAAGCCAGGAGGGAGGTGCAGGCAGCAACCTTCATGGCCCACCTGAGCCTGGCCCGAGCAGATCCCAGTAAGCACATCGTTGGTGGGCCGTCCAGCCCCAGCTTGAATCCTCTACCAGCAACTAGAGGAGGGTGGCTTTAGCCTTTCACAGCTGTCTGCACAAGGGCGTGCATGCCCAGAACTCTAGGGGTGACATCTGAAAAGCAGACATCCCTCCCCAAAGCTCTGCTGGTTAAGTTGTCTTACCTGCCCTCCCCTACCTGCTTTGCTTGCTCCCCAGTGATACTCTGTGGCTACCCAGATGGCACCCTGGCTGCCTGCTCCTTCCAGTTGGCCTCATGTCCCCAGGGCTGCGGTGTGTCTGCTCATCTGGCCACGCTGGAGTAGCATAGGCTGTTGGTGCCCAGGTCTGATCCCCAAGAGGGAGTGTGCCCTGCCCTGCCCCGGGACACCAGCCCCATCCCAGGTCTGACATGGCCTTGGATGGGCAGCCATGCTCCCCATCCCATTCCCCACAGCCCTGGGTCTCTGCAAGGCCCTTGGGCTGATGTGGTCCCCTCCACTCACAGCCTGCTGCTCTTTGGCCAGGAAGAATGGTGGTGACCCTGGCTCTAAGGGCCTGTGCTGAGGTTAGTGGCGGGGATTCCTTCCCTGGAGGGATGGACTTTGGAGTCTGTGAAGCAGCGAGACTCAGTGACAGGTTGAGTGTGGGGACACAGACGGGGCAAGACTTAGAGATGGCTCCATGCCACAAGCCAGCAACAAGCAAACACATGCATAGAGGACAGCCGGGGTCGTCATCTCCTGGAAGGGGTCTTGGGTCAGGTCTGATGAGGCAGTGGGTAGAGAGGAGGCGAGCCCGTGGTCTCGGGCTCAGTTTCCCTGGCTTCGAGCCCCAGCTCCACCTTAAGTAGCTCCACGGCTGTGGGCAAATGACTTAACCTCTCTGTGACCCAGTTTCTTTATCTGCTGATGGGAGGAGTAAGGAAAATAATTCACCAGCAATATTAGCACAGTGCTTGGCCCAGAGTAAGTGCACACCAAGTGTCAGCAATTACCACTACTGCTGAGATTGGTACGTGTTATCAGTCTGAGAAACAATCTATAGAAAAATACAGTGGCAGGGATCTACAGGTGCAGTGGGTAGAGGGTCCCAGCAGGGAGGGAAGAAGATGGAGGGAAGGATGAAGATGGAGGGAGGGATGATGATGGAGGG